GGATTAATGTAGACTCCAGGACCAAAAAACAACAAAGAAAGAGAAAGAGAATGAGACACAAACAGTCCTTGAGTCATTTAGAGACTTATGATTGCAATTTCCAGCCACATAATCCTTTCCAGCTGAAAATGCCCAAAGACATAGAAGAGAAAGTATATAGAATAATGGCACTTCATTTACATGAAAACAAATAAAATTAACCATAAGCCTATCTATTTAGATTTATGCATAGAAACATACAGTAATAAGATAAGAAAGCTTCACAAAAAACTGTCAGGGCAAAAGGGACTACTGAAGGGGGAGTGTCACTTTTACTCTATACATTTGTATTGTCTGTCACTTAGACAATGAGAGTATATTCATATTTTATTTAGGCAATATAAAAATTAACAAAATAAAGCTTTTCAATCTACTTCCTCAGACATAACCACTGATTAACTGTTGTATATTATAGATTTTCTTCCTGCATAATCAGATATATAGATATAACTTTTAAAAAATAAGTTTTAATGACAGGAATTCTGTTCCCAGGAAGATGGAATAGACATGCTTTTCCTTATTCCTCTTCCTAAGTATTACTGAAAACCCTGGATGTTCCATATAAAACAAACACAAGACAATCCCAAAGGTGGAGAAAAGCAGAATGCCGAGACCTCAGGACCCAGAAAACAATGTGATTGTGATCTCACTTGGTTTTCTTTTTGTGTTATATAACCCAAACTTTGAGTTAAAGAAATCAGTAACACTGAAACACCAATGGGTGCAGACAAAAAGAAGTCCCAACAGAAGCCTGTTATTTCTAGCCGAACGACCGGGAAAGAGATAGCCTGCCAACATAGAAAACTTTTTTTTTTTAATTGCTCCACTTCGGCCAAAGAAAATGTGGCCCCACCCACACCCACGGCAGCAAAGACCTCGCCAAACTGTAATGAGGCACCCCAACTCCCCTAGTTCTTCCAAAGGGTTAATGTCAGAGAAGGCCAGGTAGAGAGCCAGGACTTTCATCCCAGCCAGATAGAAATAGACCACCACCACAAACCCACCTGATCCTGCAGAACCAAAAGAGACCATGTGGGAAGCAGTGAAGGGTAGTCCTATCCCTGCCAGCCAGGAAAGCATCAGTGGAGGCCTAGTGAGGAGCCAGAACTCTCACCTCCACTCAGCAATTACAAGGAGCACCCCGTTGGGTGTCAATGGAGACCAAATGGGGAACCTGGACTTCTACCCCCATATGGCAGTAAGGAAGTGGCACATGCACTTCCTTACTGCCATATGAGAAAGCTTAAATAAATAAGATCCATAGTCTCATAACATAATACTGAAAACACCAGGTTTCAATCAAAAATCACTTACCATACTAAGAATTAGAAAGACCTCTCAGGCTGAAAGACAATCAATAAATAAATGCCAACACCAAGATGAAAGAGATTATAATTATCTGACAAAGATTTTAAAGCAACAATCTTTGAACAAGCAGTTATGAGCCTGCCTAAAACAAAGGAAAAATATATTCTCCCCAAAGAAACAGAAGATATAAAGAAGAACCAAATGGGAAGTTTAGAACTGAAAGAAAAATAGAATAATCTAAATAAATTAAATGAGATGGTACTATATATTCTTACTTTTTTTCAGCTTAATACCTAATGAAAATCTAAGCCTCTCTGTAAATACACAGAGCATTTTTAGTAGCTATAATATTCCACTGTATAAATTAACTATCATTTATTTAATTAATCCTCAATTAAAAGACATATATATTATTTATAATTTCTCACTATTATAAACCCTGTCTATTTGCATAATTACCTATATCATTTCTGCATAATTATCTGTCCTTTTTAGTAAATGATATCACTAAAAATGAGAGTGCCATGTGAAAGGGTATGCACAGTTTAAATTTTCATACACATTGCCAAATAACCATCTAGAAAAACTGTACCAATTATATTCCCATTAACAGTGAATGAGTCTACCTAGTTTCTCATGTCCTTGCCAACAATGGGTATTGTCTCAATGTTCTTTGTTTTCTAATTTGAGAAGTGAAAATAGTCCATCGTTGTTTTTACATACATTTTTTTATTACTAACATGATAAATATATTTTCATGTGTTTAAAAGCCAAAAACAGTCTTTCTTTTGAAAATTACCAATGCAGGTCTTTTGTGGATTCTCACTGTTTATCTTACTGATGCAAAAGAGCCCTTGGTATTTCACAAACATAAGCTGGTTGATAAATATGGTCTATTCTCAACCATTTTGTTTTGTTTTTTAACTTTGTTGATGTCTTTTTTTTGCAGAAGAATTTTTAATTGGTTTAGATTTCATTTTAGCAAATCAAGTTTAACTAAATTTTAAGTACAAAGACATCTAAAGGCTTAGTCCCAACTAGTTTTAGAGCCAAACAATCATAAAATCAACACTCACTACTGACTTACTATTCATTAGAGTCTAGAATTAGTCTTTCTGTTCTAATGAGGGGAAAGTAGAGAATGCTGGCATCCACTTTCTACCTATACATTCAATTAACAATAGATTTCTCTACATACATCGTTTCCCCAAGTGGTATCATTGGATTTTGACTTTTTATTTTATTTTTTTATTATTATTTTTTGTTGTTCAAAATATTACAGATGTTCCCTTTTCTCCCCATTGACCCCTTCTGACTCCATTTTTAAAAAACACAATATTCCATTTCCCCATTGGGATCCCACTCTTACTCTAAACCCCAACCTTTTTGGCTGATAATCTGACAACCTACCTTGTAGCCCGTTTTTCTACTAGAGGCTGGACCATTTCCCATGGCTTTCACTGTTATCTGGAAACCTACCTCAAAACAACCTAAACTCTGAAAACTACTAGACTGCCATCTGACAGATCATTACAGTCACTATCTAGAGATTTCTGCTACCATGCTCTGCCCCTCTTTCAAAGTTTGACCTAAGTTTACTAAGCAACATTGGGTATCATAATTTGAACTGCTAGTCAACTCACTTGAGCCAATGCTCAGTTGGAATAGAAGATAAAACAAATGTAATATGTTATTCCTTTTTCCCCCTGGATATCCATTCCCCTACTTACTTCTTTTTCCCCACTAGCCACTCACTGTCTCTGGCATACTTTATCACACAAGATGGCCTGATTTATGACAAGTAGCACTAACAATGTCATAAAAATTAAGCACAACCAATGAAATTGTAATTTCTGTGAAAGTCACATACATAAAATCATGAGAGAAAAAGAGTTTAAAAGGATACCTTGTAATAATATGACGAAAAACATTAAAAAACACTTATCTCTATGTTGTCTAATGTTATTCCAGTATTTCATGGAATAAAGAATTTGTCTGTAAGGTTCTTAACCAGCCCACAAAATACTTACTAGTCCTTTCCTTAACTACCAATGTATTAATTAGACATATCTGACATCAATAACCATAACTATAATATTAATGCTTAGGGCCATATTACATTTCTTAGGTTTTTCATTTTCTTCAGTCTAATATTTTCAAGTCATAAGTAACTTCTTTTTTAACTAATTTTATTTATATTCCAGGATACTTTCCTTATTAAAGAAGTACAGCACAAGTTCACCTTCAATTCCTTAGCAATCTACAAACTATATTCTATTTGAGTTAATTTTACAAAGCATCAAAGTATTACCACACTGTATCAGGAAAAAATAGCTAGAAAGGACATTATTAGGTTAACTGAATCATTCTCAACCAGCGGCAATTTTGTCCCCAGAAAACATTAGGCAGTGCCTAGAGACACTTTTGGCTGTCACAATGGAGGAAGGAGGAGGGCCACAGTCTACTGGTATCTAAGTGGATAGAAGCTAGGGATGCTGCTAAACATTCTATAATGCACAAGACAGCCCCCCAAACAAAGAATTATCGGGCCCAGCCCTGGCCAGGTAGCTCAGCTGGTTAGAGTATCGTCCTGATATATCAAGGCTGTGGGTTCAACCTCCAGTCAAGAATCAACCAATGAGTGCATAAATAAGTGGAGCAACGAATGGACATCTCTCTCTCTTTCCTTTCTTCTCTCTCTATTAAATCAATAAATAAAAATTTTAAAAAGAAAATAAGAATTATCTGGTCCAAAACATCTATAGCCATGCGGTTGAGAACTCTAGGACAACTGATAAAATTTAATATACACTACATTGTAGCAATGTTAAGTTCACTGAATTTGATCATTTTTATGTGGCTTTGTAAAGGAACAACTTTGTTTCTAGTAAATACTGCATATATCAAAATATTCAGGAGTAAAAGAACATGTTCCAACTTACACATAAATGATTCAGGAAAAGATAATACGTAAACATGTAGAGAGAAAAAATGAATAATAAAGCAATGAGCCAAAATGCTAACAACTGGTAAATCTGAGTAAATTTTTTTATTATTCTTGCAATTTTAAATTATATCAAAATGAAAAGTTAAACACAATTTCCCAGTATATTATATATACAATAGAGCAAACCAGCTTTCTTTTATTCCTGTCTCAAAATAAATTACACTATCTTCAGTGGATTAATTATGAATTTGACCCTGATAACTCAAGTAAGTATAAGCTGAAAAGTATAATTGCTAAAATGTGAATTTCACAGAAAAAGCTAAAAACATTTAGATGTCTACCAAGGATATGACATTTTGTAGTATATCACAGTAAATGCAGGGCCTAATACCCCTGCATTGTATATTTCAGGCTTTCAATACATGCTGAAAACTGCAATCATTTAGAACCATAAAGAATCTGAATACAATCCATGAGAAAACATGTATAAAAAGTAATACAAAAATATTTTTTTTAAGACTCAGATTTTCAGAAGTTTAACATTATTTCTGAATTCTTGAACCTTATCATTCTTATTTCTAGGTACTTGTTATTTAAATAGCATTTTGACAAATACACAATTAACAGCTTTGTAAATATTAACAGTTTACTTCTGGAAAGCAGTAATTAAAATTTTTAAATCCAGGAAAAAGTTTAGGGCACTTACAGATGTCTGGGACATACTTGACTGTTGCGTCACACTTCCTGTGGGGGATGTAGACGGTCTTCCACTGGATAAACTTGCCTAAAATAATAAGATCTTTATACTATGTCTATAAAAACCTTAAGTTAAAAACTTTCTGGTACCAGGCTACCACAAAACCACAATAAAAGTCAAAATGTCTATGTATGAACCAATTCATTTTACAGTCAACATGGATTAAGCTTTGGCCAAACAGATTAAGACAAAACAAAAAAGCTGAATGGTGGAAACAGAGGACCCAAAGGGTAATATTATTTTAATAGTTGCACTCATTGTCTGTTTTACTGTATAAGCCTCTGTCTTCTTTGAAGTGGAATCACCACTCCAACATTACAAAAAAGAAAATGAAGCTACATCAAGTGCCAGTGGGTTTCAGTTTCCTAACTCATATCACAAACACAATGTTATTTAAAATTACACTACCAAGAAAAAGCAACTGCTGGGGATGTGATTACAATAGAAATAAAACTTTTACAGGTTCAGTCAACTAAGATCTTACTCTAGTAAGATTTAAGATTAAATCTCACATATAGTTTTATTTAAATAAACAGTAAAATAATAATGAAAATCTTTTTTAAAACAAAAGCATTTAATCATAAAGTCATCCTGTTATCAGTAGGAATAGTATGATTAGATTTTAGAAAGTGCATATGCATATCTTTATACAGAAAGTTTCTGGAGGGATACATATTAGACTGGCACAGTGGCCAACTCTGAAGAGTGGAAAACAGCAGTGGGTGTAGAAAAGGAATACTTCTAGTTTACCTCTTATAAACATTTTATACGATTTGATTTTTTAAATAATGTAAATTACTTGCATACTGAAAAAATCCTTTTTTTGTTAAAATGTAAATACAATTTATGTAACCCTAAGTTTTCACTGTTGTACCTAGAATTTTACACGCAAAATCATGACACCAGCATAGCATTTCTGCAATGTAGTTAAAAAGCAGTGGGACAAAACATATAAAATATATCCATCATTTTTTTAAAATTAACTTCCATTTGGCAGCCTATTATATTTCCCTAAGAAAAATCATCACAAAACATCTGAGAACTCTGGAATAATACCCAATTTATTTTCCTCAAATAATGTCAACTTTGGCCTCATAATTCTTCATTTATTTCAGTCTCACCTGAACAGCAGCAAGGCTCTGAAGCTGGGAGCTGCTTAAGTGCTGCTGCTGAAGAGCTGCAGTGTGCAGCATTAAGTGCTGCTGTTGAGCTGCATACATTTGCTGAAGGTACTGAGCAGCTGAGCTGGGGGGGCGATGCAATGCCTGTTGAATTACCTGTGATAAATCAATTGAACCAATGTCAAACCATCTTAACCTTAGCTGTAACCATAAAATAAAGTATTAAAAAAGTGATAGTTTAAAATTTCACTACTTTAGTATTCAATATCTCTCCTAATTACATATCACTAGGATTGTACAAATTAAATCTGTGCAAATTAAAATTACCCAGGATAGTCAATTCACATAAAAGGTCCAAACAAGTATTTGAAAAGATCTTCAATCACATTAGTAGACAAAACTTACAAATTAAAACAGGATACTATTTTCCAACTTTAAGATGGATGAAGATTTAAAATACTACTATTACTAACTGGGGAAACAGGTACTCTCATAAAAGGTCATAAAAATGTAAACTGGTATAAGCGTTTTGAATAAAACTTGGTAGAATTCATGGCTTGGGTGTAGGGAGGAATATGTATAACCTTGTAGCCATTACAAATAGTAATGTGGATCAGAGCTGTCGAATATAGTAGCCACTAGCACCTGTGTCTCCTGAGCACTTACAATGTGGCTAGTGCAATTAAGGAATTTACTTTTAATTTTACTTAATTTAAATTTAAATATAAATAGCCACATACAGCTAGTAGCTACTGTACTAAACAGTACATATATATCTATATTTATTAAACAAAAAAATTCCCAAATATATCATAAGGTGAAAAAAGCAGATTGTTAAGCAGTGTATAGAATAAAATGCCTTTTTATATTAAAAATTTTGAAAGAATACTCAGGAAAACATTAAAAGACTACTGATAGGTAACTGGATTAGAGGTGATTTTTACCCTCTCATTTGTACTTTTCTTTAAATGTCTGAAAAAAACTTAGAATGAGTAGGTATTATATTAATAATCATGTAAAATTACAAAGCAATTTACTTTTTAGAAAATTACTAATTACTTTTCAAATGTAATTTTTCAAACACTTAAAATTTTTTTTAAATGTCAGATTCCTTGTTTCAGTTGTTTCAACATAGAATAAAACTATTCTCACTAAAAAAATTCCTGTTAAAGTGTTACTATAAATATTAGTAAAATATAAAATCTGAGCCTGAAACTTCATAAATAAACATAAAGAAGACAAATATTCTAATAACAGAGAAAATTTCTTTATCTGTCCAAATCAGTAAGTCAGACTATGCCAGTCCTCTGCAACCACATCCCAAAGTCACATCATGCCCACAGTGACTCTGAAACAGCACAGAACCCTAACAGTAGCATTGAACCACAGTGTTTTAAAAGAGCAAAGGGAGTAATAGAGCCATATCCTACAGCTTTAGGGTCTGAGGACAACCTGAACCACAAAGCCATGAGTCTCTTTATCCAAATTCCATGAAAGCATATTTCCTTATGTTGTTTACTTTCACATGTTCTTAACTTATGTCTCCAACTACAGATTGCTATACTTGCTACAGACTCCTGTCCCAATAGCACTATAGGCTTCTGACCCCTAGTTGCAGGAAACTATAGACCAGAATCAATTTAGGATTATAACAGTATATCTTTTGGTCAGGTAAATCTATGTATGTTCTTCTAATTCTGTAACAAATGAATAATCTATTGAAAGATACTTCTGTCAGAGTATAGTAATTTTTCTATTGTCAGCATAGACTTTCATTGCCATTCAATGCTATACTGATGGGAGAAAGGCTTTTTAAATACAAGTTAAAGATAGAGCACACTGTTCTTATTTTGGTCCTCTAAAGGAATGAGGATGATAAAGAACATTCACAGGACTGAAAAAGAAAGTTGGAAGGCATTAAAGAACTACTTAGGTAGTTCAATAAATATTGATTTAACTGTATTTTAGGGGAAGCAATTCTATGATATCATACAAACTAGTGTTAGTGCTATTTGTGAGATATATCTATATCTACATATCTCTAGTAACACTTTAAAAAATGCTTTAGTAAAGTACAGTTGACATAAAATAATACATTGCTTTCAGGTTTAGAACACAGTGATTCAATATCTATATACCTTTCAAAATGATCACCACTACAAGTCTAGTAACCTTCTATCACCATACAAAGTTATTTTGATATTATTGACTATATTCCCTATGTTGTACATAACCCTACTTTTTATTAACACATCCAGCTTAGGTAAAAACTAGAGAACAAAATGGCATATTAAAATATCACATCATCTATATGTTCAAAGATCTCAATACTCTTTCCCCATGTCTCAGAGAAAGATAAAGAGCATTAAAAACACATTCTGCATTCCCGTTTGAATTTTTGAACTGACTAGGTCTCCAACAACTCTGATTCCACCCATGGTAACTTCAGAATCCTAAACCATACAACAGTTAAATAGCCATTATACTGGGATATCCACTCTAGAAAAATGAACAGGGAGAGGACTATATTGCAAAGTTATTTTCAGGGTAGAATGCAATTATGGGGATTCTAGAGAGAATAAGCAAGTATAATGGAAATAAGAACTCACAGAGTGGTTAAGGGCACAACTCTAAAATCAAAGAACCTACTAGCTTTGTGAGTTTAGGAAAGTTATTTAGCCTACTTAAAACATCAGTTGTCCCATTTGTAAAATGGAGATAGTAATAGTATCTAATAATCCATGCAAAACATTATCAAATGCTTGGCCCATAGAAACTGTTCAATAAATGTTAGCTATTATTACTACTTGCTCAGTACATCTAATGTGCCCACACAGTTCTAGATGCTTCCTTTAATTCTCATAATAACTAATAAAGTAGGTGGTCTCATCCTCATTTAATAGTTTCCTGAGGCTATTATGTCTCCCACACAAGACTATACAGCTACTAGTGATAAAGAAAGTGGAATTCAAACAAAGAGCGAATCAGACTGCAATGCCCATGTCCTTTTTATGCAATACTATATTGCCTCAGCTTCCATTATTATAAAGGTTAACCAAGTAAACTTAATTTTCTCAACTAAGTGAAGAGCCTAAGATTTTTCCTATTTAAATATTCCTTTCCACCTCTGCCCCTAAGAGCTTTATAATGAACCCTTCTGTTTAGGGTTCTTAGACCACTTACGTTTAAAATGAACCCCTTAACACATCTACAGACCTGAATAGATCTCCCTAAGTCTATATTACGGGTTCAAGTATAAAATAACCCAAAAAAACCTAGAGCCATTCTGCATGTTGGAGCCCTAGATTATCTCCACATTGCAGCAGTAGCTAGAGACCTTCCGATCATAATTTCCCTTACATATTTTATAAGCTACACTCTGACAAGCGTAAGCCCTCTCAACAGAATGATTATTAAATAACTTTTTGATTGTTTCAAACATTAACAACTCTGTACTTATTTAGAGGATATCATATAATTCATTGGATATGAAACAACAGATTCATCTGGCATAAGCAAAAAATAATGACATCCTGAATCTTAGTCTACCCATCATTTTAATTGAAATACCTGTACAGCATGTCGATCTGAGCCACTATAAACAGAGATCTGTGGTTGCTGCATTCGAGAGGAGGAAGTGGTGATGGTGGTAGTGGTGGTGCTACTGGTTGTTGTCGACACAGAAGATGTTCCAGGGTTTGGTTCACTATCCATAGCTGTACTGTGGTCCTTAAATCTGGCAGATAACACAAAGGGTTTGTACTGGCAAAAGCATTATCTTATGGGTTTTAAAGAATATTTAATAATTTCAAAGAAACAATCTAAGTTTCTAAGAAGGCCCTCAAAACACAGCACACAGTCACCATAAACACTTAGAAAGAAAAAGTACTTCACAAATATATAGCATATTTAATACTTAATACCAACTAAATTTGAATTCAAATGATCCAGGATATGTAACTCAGATAAAGCCTGGTCTAAAGTTTATCTTTTCATTACTGAAAAAAGATGAGTGTTTTGAAACCAAAACAGGTGATGAGTGAACACTAAACTACTTAGGAAAATAAAACTCCAGCAACATAAAAGTGCTTTAAAATATATATTTACATTCTTTTGAACATACTAATTAGAGTTAAAGTCATTTTTATCTATTCATTAAAATAGGGTGCCTAAGGGCTTGTGATAAATAGTTTAGTTTTTGGCTACCATATACACTTGCTTTAAAAATAAGTTATTTTAGAAAAGAAGTTAGTAAGAAAAATCACACTGCCTTTTTCCCTACTCTACAACACTGTCCTTATAACATCTAATAAGTATAATGAGTTACACTCATAAGCAGATTACTCTGACTGGGTAGAGAAGAGCTGACAATTTCCCCACTTCCTTACCAAAATCTCTTTTTCATAAAGAATTGTCCCAAATTTTGAAAACAGCATAATTATGTCACTTCCCTCAGATATGGCGAGTAAAGTACATTTTTGTACAAGGCTTTATTTCCCTCTAATATTAAAAACTCACTTCACTATTGTATAAAATTCTACCAGCCCGACCGGGCGTGGCTCAGCGGTTGAGCATCGACCTAGGATCCAGGTGATCAGGATTTGATCCCGGTCAGGGTACATGCCCAGGTTGTGGGCTCCATCAATGACTTTCTCATCATTGATGTTTCTATGTCTCTCTCTCCCTCTTTTCCTCTCTCTGAAATCAATAAAGACATAGTTTTTAAAAAAATTCTACCAAATACAGAATTTTTACCTGAATAAATTCAAACATTTTATTTTAGGTCAATTCTGAGGGCCTCAATATTGTTAGAAACTAGAACTACAAGTAGTTTTTGCATAGGGTGAGAAATGCACCACAATGGTGAAAAGCACAGAGACTATACTGATTTTATCTGCCTTTCTTACCTGTCTTTTCTTCCAAGAAACAAAATCGGGCCCACCTCACATTAGCAGCAGCATTGACAAGAATATAACAAGAACACTTTCTACTTCAGGAAAAGACAAAGGAATCTGGCACTAATTGTGTACACATACACTATTCCCATATGGTGTCCTTTTATGTACAAGTTTTCTTTGTTCTTTAAATCATTTATGTAAAAAATATTTACATGCTCTTCAAGGAATCAAATGTTTTTTTAAAAATATCGATTTAATAAGCAGAGAGGTGAAAGGAAAAAAGGGGGGGAAATGACTACACTTACTTTTTTGATTAGTAAATGACTCATACATCTTTACCCTTCTTTGTTGGTTTTTTAAATAGTTTTTCAAACTGCCTTCCAATCATGAAATCACAGCATCTTATAGTAACTGTTTAACATCATACAGATTTAGTGGTAGATAAAGTAAACTTTTTCCAAATTACTGGCTGTCTGTCATAACACTTTTGAACCTCCTACCAGTGATATGCAAAAAGCCAGCTTAAATTCTGGTGCCTTTAGAGTGCTATTCCGCTCAACCATACCTCAATCCCAAACCCTATGTTAAGCAGTTCGGTAACTAACCAAAAATGGTCACAGAGAATCCAAATTGTAGGCACAATTCTAAACATCGGTGAGTGGAATCGGCCAAACCACTGAAATGCATTTGAAGACCTGGCACAGAAGAACAATTTTTGTAACTCCACGGTCTATGCATAGTAATGCGTGCAAAACACAGCCGGTAGTCCTGGTGCCCAAGAGGCCTACCCCGTAGACACTAAGTTTGCGTCTCTAACTAGGCATACCACCACACTGCCACACAGGAATGTGGCCCCCTGGGGACGCATGAACCCTGCTGCCCGAGACCCGAGGGAAAAAGGATCTTCCCTTCCAGGGTGTTTTCAAGCCTGGCCAGACCCACGGAGCCCCCGCCGCTGTAAGGCCGGCGCTGGGACGCCTCCTCCACGCCTCCTGGGGGAGGGCGGTGAGCAGCCCCCGGTCTCGGGTTCTCCCCCAGGGTGGAGCGGGGTGGCGCCAGAGCGGGAAAGAGGGGAGCGCGAAAGAGGCCTGGCAGTGCCCGCCCAGCCCTCGCCAGCCTCCGCGGGCCCCCGGCGCAGGCAGCCGTCACAAGGCTGCCCGCGGGGCCCACTTGCAGGGATGACAGCGCCTGACAGGCCCACGGGGGTTCATCCCTCGGAAGACCCTAGCGGCCGGGGTCCCAGGGGTGACCCTGAGTGCAGGGCCCCGCTGATCCAGGGCCAGTTAGCGAAAGGGGCGCTCCCGCCTGGAGGTAACTGGACCCTCACAGGTCGCCTCCACCCCCCGACACGGGTCAAGCGGGCTCCTCCACGATCAGGAAACTCTCGGGTCTCCTTTTCCCCGCACTGCCCGCGAGAGAGCCCGGAGATTCCCCCTTGGAGGACGTGTCGCTGCCCCCACTCGCCCCCCAGTTACGACATCAGTCACCAGCAAGTCACTCACTCCGCTTCCGCCATCTTCTCTCCTCCATCACTAACGCGGGCTGCGCATGCGCCCCCCTCACCCCAGCCTTCGCGGCGGCGGGCGGAGGGCGGGGTCGGCCCAGCCCCGGGCCCCCGGGGTCACGTGGGGTCGTGGGCTTCCACTCCCCCTCCAAACTCTGGCCCTGCGGCCTCGGAATTGACCGGATTGCGCGGTTCAGATGCCAGAATGTCTCACCTCCAATTCCTCGCTTTCTCTTGCCCAGGGTCTTCTTCCTCTTGGAGAGGGGTCTGTAACCAAAATTAGAAAAGTTCTGTTAAGTTAAAAATTTGAAGAACATATAAAGCATGCCAAAGCTTATGCAAACTGCAAAGAGCGAGCGGAAAGAAACTACAGAATTGGGTGCGAAGGTCTCAGAGGGAAAGGAAATGCCCTGGTGGCTGCAAGGCTTGTTCCCCAGGGCAGATTGGAGTTTGGGGGTCCCAACCAGCCGTTCCTCTATCTCAAAGGTAGCGTTCAGGATGCTTGTGCGGTGGCTGGTTAAGGGCTCATCCTGATTATCCTACGCCTTCGACATGAGTGTGCTGAGCACTTAGTAGGGGTTGCAAACCAGAATTCCACAGGGAACAACCGGGGATGACCACTAGTTTGCTAATGTGGTTTTCTAATAGATACAAATATATAGCAACTACTATGAGGCAGGATGAAACATACAAAGATGAGTATAAAAAGTCCCTTTCTTCCAAGAGCAGACGGATGGAAGAGACTCATTGGGCAAGGTATGCGAGGAGGAGTACAGAGCTTCCCTGCCCTCTCCAGGCATGTCACTGTCCCAGCACCTCCATGGGTTCACCTCACAGACACTCTCTAAACCCTGTGCTTTGGGTTTTTAAAAAGGTTCCATTACATAATTGTGATTGATTAAATCATTGGCTATTGGTGGTAATTGATTCAACTTTCAGTCCCTCTCCCTTCCTTTGAGAAGAGGGGATTACAAGGGTTTTAGGAACTCTGTGCCAGGAATGGGGCCAAAGACCTAATATATATTTCTTATTATAAATCGCAGTATCACAAGCCCAGACAGACTAACACAAGCCCACGGGCCAAATACAGCCTGCTTCTTGTTTGTGTACAGCAATCAAGCTAAGAATGGTTTTTACATTTGCTAATGATTGAGGAGGGGGATCAAAAGAATGTTTTGTGACAAGTGATAATTACGTGACATTTAAATTTTAGTGTCCATAAGTAAAGTCTATTAGAACACATTCACACTCATTCACTTATGTACTGTCAATGGCTGCCTTTGTGCTACAAGGGCAGAACTGAGAAGTTGCTACAGACACTATAATGATCTACTTACTATCTGGCCCTTTACAGAAAATGTTTGCTGACCTCTATTCTATGTCACTGATCAGCTGTGCTGGGCCCTTTCAGGGTAGTTAATACAGCACACATACTGTTCTACGCTTCAACTAGCCTGTGAGAGCTCTCATAGGTCTCCCTCCACCTAGATTTGCTCAATAAATACTATTGAGTATGCTAATACTCAGTAGTTTTTTTGGTTGTTGTTTTCGTTTGTTTGTTTTTAAGTTTATCTTTATTGTTGAGAATATTAGAGATGTCCCCTTTTTATCCCCACAGATCCCCTTCTCCCCGCTTACATCCCACCCCCAGGCTTTCCGCATACCAGTGTCTGTGTCCATGGGTTATGCTTATAAACATATAAGTTCTTTGATTAATCTCTCCCCACCCACTGTTCCCTCCCCGCCTTCCCTCTGATATCCCTCAGTCTATTCCATGCTTCTATGTCTCTGGATCCACTTTGTTCATCAGTTTATTTTGTTTATTAGATTCCACATATAAGTGAGATCATGTGGTACTTGTTTTTCTCCGACTGGCTTATTTCACTTAGCATAATATTCTTCAATTCCATCCATGCTGTCCCAAAGGGTAAGAGATCTTTCTTTTTTACAGCTGCGTAGTATTCTATGGTGTAAATGTGCCACAGCTTTTGTATCCATTCATCCACTGATGGGCACTTGGCCTGTTTCCAGATCTTAGTTATTGTAAATTGTTCTGCTATGAACATAGGGCTACATAAGTTCTTTGTGATTGGTGTTTCAGGTTCCTTAGGATATATTCCTAAAAGTGGGATCACTGGGTCAAATGGCAGGTCAATTTTTAATCTTTTGAGGAACCTCCATACTGCTTTCCATAGTGGCTGCACCAGTCTGCATTCCCACCAGCAGTGTACTAGGGGGCCCTTTTCTCCAAACGCTCACCAGCACGTGTAGTTCGTTGATTTGTTGATGGTAACCATTCTGACAGGTGTGAAGTGATACCTCACTGTGGTTTTAATTTGCATCTCTCTGATGATTAGCAATGTTGAACATTTTTTCATATGCCTCTTAGCCATTTGTATGTCCTCTTTGGAGAAGTGTCTATTTAGGTCCTTTCACCATTTTTTAATTGGGTTGTTTGTCTTCCTTTTGTTAAGTTGTATGAGTTCCCTCATAAATGCTTGTTGAGGAAATGACTACTTGAATAACTGGATGAATGAGGCATGAAATTCTAGTGTACCCTATAAATTAGAATGAGACCATGTATAGACTGTCTGTGTCTTTTCCTTGAAAGTAATATACTAACAAAATACTTTTACTAAACCAAATAGTATTGAAACTGAAAAAACAGTCTCTAGTCCTGCCATCTCTCAGTAGGTTAATCATATGATTATCAGTCTTATCTTCCCTTGTAAACCTGTGGGCAGCACTATACACAGTCAGCTGTATCTCCCCAGGTGTTGAATAGTAGAAACACCGAACATTAAAGCTGGAAGGAACATTAGACATCATGTGACCCACACGGAGGAAGAATCCATGGCAAGAGAAGAATTTGAATTCCGATCTCCTATCCACCCAGTCCAGAGTTTTTTGCCTTGTACCCCAAAGCCTTACTTCAAGCGTGCAGGTGCTCAATCAACACTTGGAGACGCAGTGTACTTTCACTTTCACTCTGCTCTTATGCTTAGTGTTTGCCTAAAAGAGCTGTTATGAGCAAGGCTTTAGAATCAGACAAACTTAGATATGAATACTGGCTCTTCTCCTCACTAGCTGTGTGACCTTTTGCAAGTCTGTCTGCTCCACCTTCAGAATATAACCTCATCTCTGGTCACACCACCATGGACACACATGAAATCATCAAAATACAAACTGAATGTGACACTTCTCACTACCTCCGCTGTTACCAGCCTAGGCCCAGCATTTCTCTCCTGGCCCACTGCAGTCGCTCCTGACAGGTCATCCTGCTCCTACTCTTGTTCCTCTGTAGTCTATTCTCATCAGCAGCCTAAGTAAACTTTCAAAATTGTAAATCAGATCCTGTCACCACTCAACTCCTCCAGTGGCTTCCCATCACACTTAGCAGAGAGCCAAGAGTTTTGTGTTGCTCACTCCGCCTCAGCCACACTGGCCTCCTTGCTTTTCCTCCTTTGCTCTTGCTACTCCCCAGCTGGGAGTGTCTTTCACACAGATTTCACTTCCTCACTTCCTTCGGGACTCTGCTCACATGTCTTCTCAGAGCGCATTCCCCACCACCTCCCCTAATATGGCCATCCCGTCACTTTCTTTCCCTGTCTCACTTCACTTTCTGCAACGCGCCAGACATTACGTTATGTACATGTTGGTCTATTTATTCACTACTCCCATCAACCTTCAGGTTGTAAGCTCCTCATTGGTTCACTGTATTCCCAGTTCTTAAAACATTAAGTGCCTGCTCAGTTGACGTGGCTCAGAGGTTGAGCATGGACCTAGGATCCAGGAGATCGCAGTTGGATTCCTGGTCAGGGCACATGCAGGGTTTGCAGGCTCGATCCCCAGTCGGGGGCGTGCAGGAGGCAGCCAATCAATGCCTTTCTTATCCTTGATTTTTCTGTCTCTCTCCCTCTCTCTTCCTCTCTCTGAAATCAATAAAGATATATATATTTTTTTAAATTGAGTGCCCAATAAATGTGCATTGAATGAAGTTATTTAGCCTCTCTAATCCCCAGTTTCCTAATCTGAAAAACAGAGATAATTGCCACACAGTTATTGTTGAAGTTACATAAAAATAGAAATAATGTATATTAACAATACAGTGTAATAAATGCTCACCTTTTTTTGTTGTTATTTTGCTTCATATTATTATGCTTAAAGTAAAGGAAAATAATCCTCCTATCCTATTTCCAAAGGTTATGATTTTAATCATAGGGCTTACTTTTTAAAGTTAGCATCATACATTTTTTTAAACTTG